ACTGGTATAAGGTCTCCATGGATATCTATATGATGGAAAGGCACAGAGAAATTGGTTCAGTTGGGGAGAAAATAATCTCCCTTCGAAGTTTTACCGTAAGGCTGAAGGGGGGGCAGGCACAACCCGATGTATTAAACCTTAAAGGAAAGGGGATTTCTATTCTTTTTGGTGTTTAGTTTTGTTTTAACTTGGACACTTGAGATGAACTAAAACAACTGACTACACCCTAACCTCTGTAGATTTTAGTGTAATACTTTCTACACCTCCATTTGATAGAGTAGGAATGTCCTTATCACAGGGAGAAACAACTGCATTGATCTCGTTAGGATCTTTATCACACAACGTATTTTGACAGATATTCCTGGTTGCCCTCTGTTGAACACTTTAACATTTTTGAGATAAAATAGAGTTTAGCCAGGATTGAATGCTTTATCCTCACATTTCTATAATGCAGCTTGATAGTGATCCATCACTCTAGTTGATAAGAGGTAGCAGTTGAGAAAAACAAAAATAGAGATAAACTTGCTCACAAAGGATCTGCAAATGTACTTGAATGAGAGTGATCTGGCCATAGGATACAAGGGCTCCTCTCCTCCTTGCCAAGAATCTGAAATTACTTTTAAACCCCTCACCAGCTATAACCTCCCCTGAGCAGGGTGCTGGGAAGGCAGGAGCCATGCAAGCTCAAAAATACCTCAACCCCTGTGTTTTTGCCATGAGAGGGAAGTCAGTGGAGGCTGGTGCCATTCAAAGCAGGGAGGAGAATGCGTCTTGCCCAGGGCTGGTGTGACAGTTGAGCAGTGACCACAGAGAAGCTCTGGGATGGGAGCTGGGAGTGAAACAGTCCCACTGAAATTATTTGTCCCAGGTAATTTAGTTAAAAATAAAATGGTCCCAGGTAATTTAGTAGTAAAGGAGCATTGCTAGTATCCTTCTGTGCTGCATTCAGAGAGGATCTATGCCTACATTAACACCAGCAAAAGATATTTAGCTCATGAGGAGCAGCTAGTTTTGTTTAACCTGAGAGTACCTGCTGTGGAGCAAACCGAACACCCCCATGTTATCTGCACATCTTCCTAGGATATGGAGAGTCCAAACATCCTGAAGAGTTTGTAGCCTGAAATATGGTACAAGTTTGTTCTGCATCCGTCCGTTATCATTAGTGATATTTACTATTAAATGGACAAGGAGTTTGGATTTTCAACCACATGCAAGGCCAGGTCTGCATAAACACAGGTGACAAAGGAAAAAGGAGGACGATGTTGTCCCCACATCTCTCATTACCTTGAAAGTCTTAGATCTCATCCTCCTCCTTTCCAAGTCTAAATTTACCAATGGCCTTAAGGCATATAGGAAAAGGGAAGGGAGTACACAAAAAACAAATATTTTCTACCAAAGCAAAGATTTTTGCTTGGCCCCTGTTCAGATTGAATATCAGATGGCCCAGCAAGTGATCTATATTTCATGCCATTTTTTAAGATGCTCAGATCCAGAGAGAATTAGCTGCCATCAGAATGGACAATGACCTTTTTCGTCTCCTGGGAGAACAGACACTGTGAAGTTTTCATTAGATATTAAAAAAAAAAAAGGGAAAAGAAAAACACATAGATACAGCCTGGGAATTGAAACTCAGGCTCCAGCCATAGTAGTGACCTTGCTAAAGACAGTTATTGTCTTGTGTTTTTGATTCTCCAGAAGTACATGGGTTTAAAATGGTGTACAACCAATAACTATTATTGTTACTCTATTTTTTAATTTTGCTTTTTTGTGTGATCAGAGAGTAGCAATATATATAAGTAAAATATGTAAGGGATCTGTAGTCTGAAACATGAAATTGTTATGAAATTGAAAGTATCATCATGTAGGCATATACCACGAAAGATGTGCTAATTATCAGCACATGTTTTTTTTTTAGTTGAGAAACTAAGGAGAATGAGGGATCCTGTTCAAAACCTTCCTGGTCTTCAAGTCTCATTTATACAAGTCACTGTGGCCTCATTCCCAAACCTCAGGGTTAGCCCAGGAGCTTAGACATTCACATCTCCTTCTTTCACCAATGTGGTCCTGGAGTACAACAGAGAACTTGGGATGGTGGATAACTTCCCTAAAGTGCCCATAAGACACCAAGAGGTAGTTATGTCCCTGGGTTAGGTGCCCTTAGGAGATGCTGGAAATCATGTTTGCAGCTCTGGGTCTTCATTTTCCCACACTTTGGTCTCCAGCTGTAAAACGGGATGAAAAGCAATATTTTTCCCCTTCTTTTTTCTGTCTTCCTTGCTAAGATTGTAACCATTGCGGTGACAGCCCTGCCTAGAATCTTTATCTTTCTTAAGTATATGGCAAAGTCAACATATAAGATTTATTAGAAAAGAGCCTCATTTTCCCAAATGCCATGGTGCCAGGTTCGTGTTTGCGTGCTATAGAAGTAGCAAAGGCCAAACCTTTGAATAGATAGGAAGCAATCTGACTTTGGGAAGAAAAGGATGGACAAAATGACCTCAAAGCAATTCAGCATCTGTGATATCCTCAAATTCCACATGAAAGCTTGCTCTCTATTTTGCTGACATATGAGCTGGCTGTCCTATTGTACATCAGTGTAACAAATAGCTGTTATCTTCTGTTTCATGGGAGCTACAGCAGAACATGATTTATTTGTGCCTGCTCTGGTGCCTTTTTTGAAATGTTGCTGTCATTCAGTGCACCTTTTGCAGAGGAAGGCAGATGGTCATCACAAAGTTTCCCATAACCTTGCTGTGTGTGCTGTGTAGTGAATCAATGAAACCTGAATTACAGTCCGTTGTCAGAGGTTGGAGCTGTGCTGCTAAAGTATCCTGCAGTGGCTGAAAACATTTGAATGTCAACACTGCACCTATACTGAGGAAATATGACATTTCTCCTTAAAATTTCAAAGCAGTGCCAAAAGGGATTTTTAACTGTGATGTGCAAGCAGCAACTGCATTGCTCAAACCTTATTTAGCAGCATGGAAATGTACCTTTTGTGAGTATGTGAGCGTAAGGTGTGACCTCTCTTTAGGAAAAAAAAAAAATAGAAATAATGAATCAAACAGGATTCTAAGCTGAAATACCAGACACAAGGAATTTCTGGAGTCCAAACAGCACCAGCTGCCCCTCTGTACTACCTGTCTCTGCTTATATGACATTTGCAATGAGGCTTCAGGTGATTTGAGAAGCTGGCATTAAACTGCAAATCACCTTTCATGTCAGCTCGTGCCAGGATACTTTGCCAGAAACCATTATTTCAGTGGGAAATAACAACTGGGAATAGGGAAAAAATGAACTTCTGAAAAGCACTTTGTCACATTCCCTGGGCTGAAAACAGTGAGCACCTGCCATGAAAGCAAGCATAGACAGAAACTTTTCAGTGGGAGGATTGCCTCCTTTACATACAGAGGCAAGACAAAGTGAGTATGCAAAACATTTTCAGCACTCCTCTGATGTTTATTTGCGCTATGAGCAGACATGCCTGAAGACATCTGTGTTTCATAAAGCCTGCTACCTTGCTTCACTGATTTTTCCTTAGGATGGGAATCATTGCAATGAATAGGTCTGGCATTTTCAGATAATGGCCTGCATGCAGCATAGGTATTTCTAGAAATGGTTAATGTTGAATATAATAGATGTTAAAAGTGTCTCCCCCAAATGCTTCTGGACTTTTGCAGATGACTGCTTCTGTGTGTGTGTGTAGGGCAGAGCATCTCCCAAATTCAAGCTGTCAGTCACCTCATTCCCATAGCACATCTAGGCAAAGAGTATGATCACGTGTGAACTTGAGGCTGCAGTATGTTTTGTACATTAACTGGCTTGAGAATTTTATGGTTTTATTAAATAGAAGAGGAAAGAAATCTGAAAACTTATAAAGCAATTTAGAGGGAAGAAAAGGGCAAGATGTTGTTACTTGGTGTGCAAGGAATATTTAATCAATGGGTTTAAACTTTTTTTATCAAAGAGATTACTTGTGCGAGGACATTCTTATCAGATCTACCAAGTTTTCTTCCTTAGTTTGCAGCTGGGTTTGATCTTCTAATCCACCAAGCTTCCCCTGTCTTGGAAGGGCACATAACAGTTCTCCTAGAGAACTAGAATAACCAGTGGATTAAAAGCAAAGACTCTCCTTACAGGACTTTTCTTACTAAACCTTTCTTATAAAAAGAAAAAGCGTCATCTAAATCATATCAGAACTGTAAAAAAAAATAGTCTGGTTTTGTAAATAGATGGAGCTGATCCTGCCTGCACCTGACAAGTCCTGGTTGTAGCAGAGTCATTCATGTTCTAACACACACTGAAATAAGTGAGACCAGAGCAAGATTTATATTCTTGAAATATAAAAAACAAATCCTGGCTTAATTGAGATATAAGGTGGATTCTTTACTCTGTGCCACTAACATAAATCCATGAAATCTCAAATAAACACTTCAAAAAGTCTGATTCTCATTGCATTTTTATAGAGCCAGAATAGAAATTAAATTTTTTGGATCTGCCTAAATTTACATCTGTATACTGAGGAACCGGGCCTCATTTTCTGTACATTTCCAACTTCTTAAAAGCATTTCCAAAGTGTCAGGAAATCACAAATCTTCCAGAAATTGATCTTCATTTCAAACATTTCATACTTCAGTATGATTTGTTGTTCTCTGTCAGAGTTAAAAGGTGGAAAAGTGATCCTCTCCTGCAGGTGAGGAGCTTGCATGCTGCATTTCAGTCTCTGAACATCTGGGACTGCAGTGCATGTCTGAGCAGTCCCTAAACTGCAGCACAGAATTGCAAATGAATCAATAATGAGAAGGGAACAGAGCTGTGGCAGGGAACAGGGATGTGTCCCAAAGCCCACTGAAGTGAATGGCACAAATCCTGCTGACTGCAGTGGCCTTTGAGTGGAGCTCTTGGCATGTCTGTGAAAGGAAGGTACAGTCAAAAGTTATCGCTGTATCATATCTCAAGCAGGATAACCACATGCTCATCTTTTTCACTTTCTCTCTCAGGATGGAAGGAGCAGTTTTATTGGCCACCAGCTTGGAGGGGTCATGGAAGTGCCAAACAGCAAGGACCAGAGAGTTAAATCAGCCAGAGCCATCCAAATCACTTACTACCTCCAAACGTATGGCTCTGTCACCCAGGACCTCATTGGGGAGAAGTGGGAGAGTGAATTCTGTAAACTGATGCACAAGATGCAGCTAGATCACCAAGATCTGCAGCTCTACTCACTAGCATCCTTCAGCCTCTGGAAGGACTTCCACCAGACAAGTCTCTTGGCCAGGGGCAAGATTTTGGTGAGCCTGATGCTGATTCTCCTGACTGCTACCCTATCGAGCTCCATGAAGGACTGCCTGCGTAGCAAACCTTTCCTGGGACTCTTGGGAGTACTTACTATCTGTATTTCCAGTGTCACTGCGGCAGGGATATTTTTCATTACTGATGGAAAATATAATTCTACTCTGTTGGGAATCCCTTTCTTCGCTATGGGTAATTATTTATCTTCATAATAATAGGATTAACAGAGTTTAATGACAGGATTTATAAATTACATCCTGGGCTATAAAGTGCAGATTCTACCTTGGGTGAAATTCTAAGTCATTTTCATCTTGTTAAATTGTTCTGTGCCTTGACAAAAGAAAAAAAAACAACCAAAAAAAATGAAAAAAGGGAAAAGGCAACAAAGCAAAGCAGTAGCAACAGTAAAGAGCAAATGATGTTGCTGGAATCTTAGCCAGTATGAGAGAGGGGCAGTTTATTGATGTCTTTTACAAATTGAAGGAGAAATTGTTATTGAAAAATAGCTCAGCATAGAAAACGGTACATGTTGACCTGACTTTGATGGGAGACCAGCTGAAAGAGTAAGTTAAAAGAGGAGGTTGCCAAAGAAAGATTTTAGCACTCTTCTGAGGAGGGCTTCTCTTCCAGCTGTGTCTGAGGGGCAGAGGGGAATGGATTGGTATAAGAATAAGATTGATGCACTTTATCTCGTAGAGGAGATTACTGTTGTAGTGTTTGTCAGGCTGTAAGCAAAGGGGGCTGTCAGTATATGTAGCACATAATTCCTTGGTCTGTGAAGTCCCAGATCAGCTACTGAGATTTTCTATGTGTTGTAGTAGGGCAGGGGAAGGTGCAGATGAAGAACAAATATTAACTCCAGCTTTTTTAGCAGAAGAATTGATTTTTTTTTTTCTGTTCCTATTTCTGTCCCAAGCACTTTTAGTGCATCTGTGTGGTTAATGAGTTTGCTGGGAATGTTGTTGGAAAGGAAGAAGAAAACGTACCCAAACCAGCTTGCTGAGGCAGCGCTTTCAGTGCAATCACATCCAAGCTTATTAGAGTTTCACTGTATCACGAGTCTGAACCCAAGCAATGACTATGCAAAATCTTAGCAGTGGCAGCCCAAAGACCCAAACCCCTTCATGCTGGCTTTTCGATGGCAGAAAATCTTACCTGTGCACGGAACTCTGCATCTTTACTGTTAATTTCTTAAATTTCATTCATGCTTCTAGTACTCAAGCCCAAGTCCTGTGCTTACAGTGAGAGAACTGAAAATGCAAGGCCACAAGTTAAAGTCAAGGGTTGAAGAAGGGTCTTTTTCTTTAAAATCTCGTCCTCCCAAACCCCTATATATTCTTTCTCTTACTCTCAAGAAAATTCCTGTCATATATGCATCCTGCCTCCTATTTTGTCTATCCCCTGATAATGCAGCCATGTCACTAACCAAAGGAACCCTATGCAATCCATACAGGCCAGGAGCATCAATTGAAATGGCAGTGATATTTTACTCAAATTATTCATACCCTACAGCCCAGGATGACACAAGGTTGGGAGTTTCTGAAAGCAGGGTAGCTCAGTTTCCCATCTAGGATGGTGGTAATCCAGGAGTTTGTTTGCTGTCTGAGGAAAAGTAATATTTATAACTTTCTGTTGTGTTTTGTGCTGTCATTCCTGTCACAGCCACTGCCAAGAGCAAAAGAAAAGAAGAGAAAAAAAACCCCAAACTCTCTCTTGAAGTGAGTTATTTGCAAGGATTGCTTCTGTAATGTTGCATTGAATGATACATTGGAAAAGAAAACATCTATGTAACCCTTCTGCAGAAATTTCAGTCAGGAATCCCAAACTGAATTGGTCACCAGCTATCATTAGAGAACAAATTGAAATGCCTGGGAGCTGCTGCTGGTAAATATTAGGCAACAGTTTTAGAGTTTGGTGAACCAAAAGCCAGGAAGCATGTCTTGCCAAAGTCATACTGGGTTACATCCTGCAAAGTTCCATGTGTCTTTAGTCCCTTAAATAACTGTGCCACTTAATGAGATCTTGCTCTGCTTGTGTTATACCCAGGGTGTTACAGACCTAGGCTCCCTGCAGGGCAGGGATTTCTATTTAACCTGGTTTACTGTGAACTGATCTGACACCTTAGTGTAGATCCCACAGCTGGTAATTCTGTGGGTCAATACATAACTCTGGCCCATGTTGTACCAGTGTACCTTGTTGCTAGCACAGCAGAAAGTAAACAACACATCAAATAATGATTGAATGAATATAGATTAAAAAGCGTGCAAAGTGGGGTTTCCCAGAATTGCAAATGCCAGATTTACAAGTCAGCCTTTCAAAGTTGAGTTACTTAGACTAAAAAAAAAAAAAAAATAAAAGAAAAACGAGGCAATAACAGCTACAAAGTGCTTACAAGTGCAAGGTATGCAGAATACACAGGCAACGTTAATTCTGGAAGATCCTACCTTTGGAACACTTCAACCTGACATTTGCAAACTGTCCATTTAAAGTATACTTGTTTGGTCAAAAATATACAGTTTTCTCTGACATTCACTTTTCAAGGGATTGATGTGAAAGGAAATTCTGTGGTGCTCTCCTGCATTTGTCCTTTTTCTTGCAGTGATGGCAGGATGCTGCCATCTGAATGACAGGAATAACCCTAAGTTATACAAATGTTTAGGTCCATAATTCCTCCTGAAGTGCAGAGATTCTATGGGTTTCAGTAGGTGATAAAAGCCTATATAAAAGTGAAATATTTTTTTTTATGAATTTGGACTGAATGACCTACACATTAAGTATTTGCTGTAGTCCTGCTGTGAGGGAATGGTTTGCTGGGATAAAGTATATCTCTGATATACGAGGTGTTAGCTCAGATTGGCTTTTCTCTTCTTTATCCTGAAGGGGTAAATTTGAGGCTTAAGTTAGGCATGAGGACAGTGGTAGAAAATCCCGCTTGTTCTGACTTCCTCTTCCCACTACCACAGTCTTCTCAGACACCTTCCTCAGGAAATCCAGTTTCCCCAGTACAGTATCTACCACTGCATTTTTGGAGTCAGTGAGGAGCAACTCTTCAGAAAGGTCCCATGTAAATAAATCTCTGACTGCCAGGATCTCCTGCAAACAGGAGCAAGAGGAGTTAATTTTTAGCAGTTCATACCCCATACAAATGGATAAATGTGGTCAGTTAGGGAAAAGGTTCTTCTTTAGTTTCAGGGCTTCCTCCTTGAAGAACTGAACTGAACCTAGACATTTAGTTTGGTGGTTTTTTTAAGTTAAGTTTTAGTAACCTCCATGTGAAATCAGAATATGGGACAGTTCTATCTCGTGTTTCTTTTCTGGGGCAAATATAATTTGCAGTCTTTTCTGCAAGTTTGACACCAGCAGAGCTATCACCACTGATGTGTTTCAGACAGGAGATAAAGGGTCAAATAACTGAGTTTCAGATTCGTCTTAGATGTCAGAAATGGCTAGATGTTCACATCTGCCTTTTGTGTTTGGATTCACAATGCAGTTCCAAAGGGATGTTATGTACGTGACATAATTATGGTTTCCCATGCCTAATCATCATTAATTAATATAACCAGAAGGTTAACTACATAATTGAGGTATTATTGCTCCCATGATTTGCTGTTTAATGCACAGGAGCCAGACTGATATCATCAGAGAGATAATGATTTAACTCAGCTGAGGATCTGACTGTGTATTTTTAAATACAGGTACATTAATTATGTCATTTTACACTGTAATTATTTTTGGCCAGTCCATGAAGTACCTCATTATATAGATTAGTGGAAATCTTGTGTTAAAAATGTAAACACAGTGTAATTAGAGTGTAATTTTTGTATTATAATGTGTATGTGTTTCTTAGAAAGCTGGATTCACAGCGGATGTAAGATATTTCCTGCCCTTTGTAAGTCCAGACCAGGAAGACCTTCATGAGAACAGCTGTTTGTCTTTCAGTCTTTAGAGAACATTAAGATGGATGCCCTACAACACATTGCACTGTTGTTATTACTACTACCAATAACAATATCGTTACTACCTGTGTAGTAAAGCGGTACAAAAATTTTAGGAAGAAACAGGCTGCCTGCTTCCAGTAGTAACTTCATGCCTGATGTAAGAGTGCAAGATGGATGGCAGACATTTTAAGTGCAGACTTTTGTGTTAAAATTCCCAGTTATTCCTTCCCCTGCGGTATTCAAACGGAAGGAGGAAGCAAAGCAAAAGCATGCAAGACTTCAGGAAGCTATTTGCATTTCAAACAGAAGCCATCTAACCTCTTTCCAATGGCTGTTGTTAAAATAATGGCTGGTGATCACCCTTAAGTAAATTTGAGATGTGGCAGTTTAACATCAGCGGTAGAGTTGTGGGAAATTCCAGAAAAAAAAAGCCCTTGTGCAAAGTCCTTGTGTAGATAAACTTTTTGTCAAACCTCAGAAGACAAACGTGAGTGCTAAAGTGCATGCTATCGCTAGTTTACCTGTACATGAAGTATCACAGTATTTCTAACCTTTGCTTCAAGCAATGGACTATCTGATCGCAACAGCAACTTAGAAATATTTCAGGAGTGACTCTGACTTTGGTTTTGTCCTTTTGATGCAGCAGTAAAGGAAATCCCATATGAATCTCATGTTATATCCTCTATCTGTACGCGAAGCAGATGACTCTTTGGAGCATAAAGACCTACTGACATAAATTCCCACCTCTCCATGCCTTAAAAATACAGAGGAAATAGGAATAACAAAAAAACCATGGCCAGCAGGAGATATACAAAATGTTTAATATTACCCGTTTGAGTGGACAGATATGAATATGAATTGGTTTAGATAGTCTCCATGCTTGTAAAGTTGATTTCCCTATAACCTTGTAACCCTAGCAAGTCTATTTCCAGTTGCAGAGGGCTGGGTTTTTTAAATTTCTACAGGAAAGGCTAACCTTCCTAGAACAGTCTTTCCTGCATTTTGTGTAAAACACCAAAGTCTTCCAGGATAATCTAATATCCTTACACCATGCAGTCTGGTCCTGCAGCTATTTCCTGGTATCTGTCATGACTAGGGAGAGGCAGGAAGCAGCAGGACTGCAGCTGCCCTCCTCAAAAACAGAGGAGATGAGGATATTTCTGCCTGTGTCCTTTGGGCCTTTGCATGCCCAGGGATGCAAGAAGAAACACAGCCAGTCCTAATAACAAAGTTTGTAGCACCCAATTTCAGGTA